TGCCGGGCTTGTTGAAATGGAAGTCTATAATACGATAGAAATTACTGAAATGTGGTTAGATGTGAGAGAAATTCTTTAGAAATTCCATTTTATAAGTTATTTAATAGTGATATATGGATTTTGTAATGATGAAGGGGATAGGTCTTTATATGACGGATGAACTGTAATCTGTTGAGACTGAAGAGGTTGAATGTATATGAAGCACATACAATCTGGGTTTCAAGGGCAGAAAGTTATATAACTGACGATTGTTATAAGCCACCTAATCAGATAAATGATATTAATCAGATATTGTATAATGAGATCGTGGTGATTATTAATAAGAAGACTGATGCAATAACTGTTGGAGACTATTTTTGGACATATCAATTAAGACTGTATGGAGTCAAGTAGTGAGGAAGAGAGATTTATTGAGATTATTGAGGAATGGTCAGAAAGTCAACCAGAGAGAAGGCAATTTCCGATTTCTTATTGTAAGAATTGAATTGAGGACAAGAATGATCACTGTATAATTAGGTTTCATAACTTGCTATGTTGAGATAAACATTCAGTTCCTAATATTCAAAAAGCCATTTTTCAGGCCATGAGACAAGATATTATTATTTTTGAATTAGGATAATGAGTTAAAAGTGATGAGGAACAGATTGGGAATTTATAAAAAAAACATATTGCTTTTGCTTTTAGTTCCTAAAAATATGAAAAGGATCAGAGAAAAGAACAAACCTAGTTCGTTTAATAAAGAGAAAAAAGAAGAAAACCAAGGATACATGTCTTACCATCATTAAATAAAGAGGGTGCTGTCTTACCTTCATTAAATAAAGAGGGTACTCTTTTAAAAGTGATTGTTTGTTTGAAGTTAAGCACAAAGCTACACAATGGGCTATCTGTGCTCTGCCCACCACGGGTATCGAAACCCGGTTTCTAGCGTTGTAAGTCCGAAGACATACCGCTGTGCCACTGGGGGGCTTTTAAGAGTGAAATGAATTTAAATAAATAAATGAATAAAAACTCTTTCTCCACAAATTAATATATTTTGCGACATCTTGGCCTTAGGTCCACTTCAGGCAATGATCGAATTATAATTGCTTTGTAGGAAATATCGGTGAAATGTGATCTGAGACATGCAAAGCAAGACGATAATTTGTTGTTCTTTTCTTTTTGCTTGTTTGTTTATTAGCCGTCCGTAATTTAAAAGTGATAGACTAGGGAAAGTCAATTAGTCAACATCTCCAACCGCCAACTCTGGAGCTACCCTTTACCAACGAATAATAGGATTGACTGTCACGTTATAACGTCCTCACGGCTCAAAGGGCGAACACGTTCCGAAGATTGCGAGTCGAGTATCCTAATCACCAGACCATACGAGGCAATAAAACAGTCGTTGTTCTCTTAGTGCAAAGCTACAGAATGGGCTATCTGCACTCTGCAAGTAATCGAGCCACAGATTTTAGCGATATAAATCCATGAACTTACCACTAGCCCACCTGAGGACAAAATAGTGATCATCTACGTAACAATGTATAAACGAAGACATTGTTAGCGACATTCAAAAAGCAGTAAACGTCCCATTATACGAATAGAATATGGATAAGCTAAATTTTCTAGTAAATAATTAAATTAATGAAAATATATGAACACACACATACACACATATATATATATATACCTACATGAATATGTGTATAAACATACTCATATATAACTTTCACACATATATATATACTGTGTGTATATATATATATATATGTGTGTATGTGTGTGTGTGCAAGCATCGCTATCTAAAGTTTAGGAGAGGCACTTGGAGGAAACATGTCCCTTATATTTCATATATCAAGAATTAGAAAATAGTTGACGAAAAACAATGAATCGTGATAATTTGAAGATATATTGTATTTGATTATTGGCCGCGGTCTCTTTTGTATATTTAACTGTGGTTTCTGTAGATCATGGATCTGCAACCCTTCAAAGAAGAAGAGCCAATTTTTTTTATTTTTTTTTGTTTTTGTCTAACAACAAAACATTTCCAGAGCCCCAACATCTCTTAACGTTACATTACACTTCCAACCACCTAATGAGTATTCGGCACATCGCTTACATTTCACATTTAAATTCTAATTGGTCGACAATTGTTGTATTAGCAATAAATGCTTTGGAATTGGAAAGTAAAATGGAAGCGGATGTGAAGTACAACTGTATCCTATTCGTTTTATTAAAACAACAAAAGAAAAACATTCAAATAAATAAAGCACATCTGATATTATCATTCCGTCTGTATGCATGACTGAGAAATGAGAACTTACGTTATTCTACTTTTGGAGGGAGCATTTATAGAGCTACGCGTAATTACTCAAAAAGTTACGGGTTGCGACTCCTGGTGTAGGTCAATAAAAATATTCTTCTATATTGCTCGATCAGTTACATTCTTCGCTCTGTATAAAATTCATGTTTTTACTTAAGTGTCAGGTATTTGTTGACTTTTATGAACTGTTACGAAATGTGAAAGAGACGTGTGTTGCATTTCCTGGGTGAGGAGATCCTTTGTGTTTATGAATGGTTGCGAAACGTAAACATAGATCTGTATTATAATCTCTGTGTGAGCAGTTCTTTAAAACTTTCAAGAATTATATCACGAACAGATCAGTACGTTTCCGCAGCGTACGATACATGATCCATTATTCAACGAAACAGACATTTTTTTACACTGCATACAGCCCGGCATGGCCAGGTGGATAAGGCGCTCGACTCGCAATCTGAGGGTCGCGGGTTCGAATCCCCGTCCCACCAACCATGCTCGCCCTTTCAGCCGTGGGGGCGTTATAATGTGACGGTCAATCCCACTATTCGTTGGTAAAAGAGTAGCCCAAGAGTTGGCGGTGGGTGGTGATGACTAGCTGCCTTCCCTCTAGTCTTAAACTGCTAAATTAGGGACGGCTAGCGCAGATAGCCCTCGTGTAGTTTTGCGCGAAATTAAAAACAATACATCCAGGGCATTTTCGATTCTTTATTGGTGATTTTGCTAATAATTATTTCACGTTCATACCAGGTCTATATAATAATTTGCTTTGTAAGTCCGCGGACATGCCGCTGTGCCGCTAGGGGCTTATCTAATCAACGTAAATCAATCTTTTTTTTTTGTATTTGTTTTATGAATTTTATGGGCTAACAGTTTCATACTTAAATGGAAATATCAGACTTTTTTTTTCTCACTTTCTGAATTTTTGGATTTCTAGTGTTGCACATGGCCTTCTTTATTATCCTTTCAATACATTATTGGAGGTAAATATTAATGTTAACCATAGTTTGGGTTATTTTGTTTCTATTTCGTTGACTTTTTGTTGAGTGTCAAAGTTTAAAATCGCTAGACGAAAAGGGTACCGGCCCGAAACACAATGAACACTATAACATTCATTTATTATCTACCGTTTTTGTGTTATGAGATTTTCCCTTTTTTTTCCGTTCTTAATTCAGAAATTCATTTGTTTATTTACTTAAATAAACGTCATATGTTTAAGAAGCTTAAATTGGCAGATGAGACGAAAGTCTTACAAAACTACAAGAAATTTGTGGATTTTGTTTTAAAAAATTAATCAGGAAATCCAATAAAAGACTTATGAGAAACAGCTTTTAATTTTAAAATTATGTTAAAATTTAGGAAAATGTTAAAATGAACCATTGAGATGGTTAAACATTTAAATGTTCTATCCTGTTTTTACAGTGTCATATATTTCAAATAATTTTCACCCGAAACATTCTATGGGAAATATTTGAATTAGGCTGAATCGTTGTGGTAAATAGACAAATCTAGAGGTTAGAAATGGATAAAGAACCGAACAAAGTTTTCTATAGGATTTTAAAGGAGGTAAAAGGGCAGGTATGCGAGCCCTTCTATTTACTTTTTGGGGGGTCATTAGTCTGTGGACAGAAGTATGCTGAC